AAAAAAAAAAAGATCAAGAACAAGAATGGGGAAATGGTAGGAGCTTTACCTATTTACAGTGTTTTTCCACCGCAATGATATATGTGGGTGAACTCTTCCACACCCAACTCATCCCTAATAACACGAGAGATTGCCGAAAGAAGGAAAAAAAAAAGGAAGAAAAAGAAGAAGGATGCTTAAAATGGCATTGTTTTTTAGGAAGACCAGTGATCAGGCAGTGTAAGAAAATAGGTTGTCATTGCCTTTCTGAACCTTTTCTTGTACTGTATGGGGGAAATAATGGTGGGAGATGCATTCTTGGGGCCGCCGAGTATGCCGGATGCCTTCACCCAAGTCTCCAAGTGCTTGTCCCAAGTGTATTGCCTCATGAAATCAATAATCCCCATTACAAGCTCCTTTCTATCCTTGTCCACACCAACCAACAAAGAGTAATCCATCACGTCCACCGACTGCCCCCCGAAAAAAAAAAGAATAAAAAAAAAATTAGTGATTCGAAATTATAAAAATAATATAGCTGAAACAAGAAACTTTTCAATTCTTTAAAGATTAAAAGTTGCGCGTGCGTACAGCAAGAAACGACGTGTCGTTCCAAACGGCTCTTTCAAGGCTCCTTTTGGCTTTGCTTCCGAGGAATATGGGATTTGTACGGAGTGTCTCTAGCAGGTTTGTGTCTAAAAGTACTTTGTTGGGCCCAACCGTGTCTGGATTGTAACGAGAACGGGATGAGCCCTTCAGGTCGTACACTTTAGAGATGTTCCTTCCGAAGAAGAGATTCTCCATTACCATCACGTCCATTTTCACTTCTTTCCCGCCTTTCAAGTGTTTGACAGTAACCTGACATTACACAAACAAATTAATCTTGAAATTACAGATTACGAATCATAAATGCTTTTAGAATAAATGATTTAATGGAGTAGAAGTGGAGCACTCGACAATCCAATTTTGTTTGCAAATCAAAGCTGAGTGTTTATTTCAGTTAAAAGAGTGTAGTTTTGGTGTAAAAACACAAAAGTGTTTCATTTGTTGGTAAAAATTTAAACAATTTTCAGGTAATTGCAGTACTTCTGTTAATTATAAATTCGTTCGTACCTGATAAATACCAAGAACTTTGGCAAGGCAAGTCGGACCTCCGGAGCCAATCGCATCCGTCAAGTACTTAAAATACTCGGGCGCAAATTCCTCAAATGACTCCAGCTCAGTCTTAGTGACCTGCTTAATTATAAACCGTTCGTCAAACGATTTTGCGAAATACACGTTACTCTTTCCACCTTGGGCGCTCCATCTCCTGCACCGGCTCAAAGATTGAACGAAATCCACTTGGCTCGGGCAGCATTTTCTCCTTAGGGAATCAAACTGCCTTGCGAAATAACACGTCACGGAGAATCTCGTCCTCTCATCCTCGAAGAAAATCCGAACATGAGGAGAGTCATTCTGCGAGCTATCCGGGGAATTTTCCAAGTCAAGCGAACCCATGGTCGAGAGGTCCCTTAAGCTTTCAGTCCCCGGCCTGCCCCTGTCCTGAATCCAGTCCTCGTGCTCCCTTGAGCTGAGCGCATACGATATAATGCTTGAGGGCTCGTCTTCGTAAATGGCAACAAAAAC